AGCTCACAGATTGTTAAAGCTGTGATTTCTGATTCTACCAGTTGACTATACTGTTGAAACTAGTCACTGGTGTTTGTACTGGAAAGCAAATGATAAATTTAAGTCTTCAGTTTTCTAAACAATTACTGAGTACTTCTTGCGCTACTGAGAGAATACAAAATGGCTGGTTTCTGAGTAGAAGAGCTCTCAGTTGAACGTACCTGAATAAGTTACTTGTAATGGTGTACTTGTGAAGACGAAAATTGTCCAAAAATAGGCGTATTTACATAAGAAACAATTGTTGAAAGTAGGTTCCTGGCTTGAGAGGCGTCATCCCAATTATTTGGCATTCTTGAATTGGGTTTTTTTTCCTAGTAGTGAAACATACATCCTAGTTTTTTCCCTATCTTGTTTATATAGGTTAGGTATTCACTAAATTCTTATGGAAGGAAAGTTATAAAATAATTTTAAGCTGCATGTTGGAAATTAATTTCTATCTTACATAAGAGTCCTGAATCCTGGAAGTGTTTCTAAACTTCGAGGTAGTGGAATACTTCCACGTTTATTTCGCATTTTGTTTTGTATGTAGATAGCTTTCCAATTGGTGTATTGGAACCTGAAGAGGTTAAATAGACCTAAAAAAAAAAAGGCACGTTGAGGTTCCTAAAGAACATCCGGCAAAACCCTAAAGCTTAATGGAACAGATAAGATACAATGCCATAAAAAGACTTAAGTGTACATAACAGGTAGGTCTGATTGGCTAAAAACTTCCTTTCGAAAGTGCCTGAAAGCTGTGGAAAAAGTTGCATTCAGGGTAATAATCTTGGACATGCCTGGTATGAATAGCTTCTCTGGAACCTGAAAAATTACTGTGAATCCACTCTAGGCCCTCAAACACTTCAAACTATTAATGTAAATCATTAATAACAAGCCTAATCAGTACTGTTAATGTAATCACTTCTAATACAAATCTCCTCAGTTTGGCTGGAATCCCATCCCCCACTTAATTTAGCTGTCCAGAATCCAGACATTCCCGTACCTGCGGCCCCAGCATAGTTCTAGAAATATTTTTTACCTTATTTCTTTAGACTTTTGAAGTTCCTTTCCTAAACAGACTGGTTGAATGTGTGCAGTAGATTGTTCTCCGTTTGATCACCTTTATTGAGTGACTATATTGACACAAGTGTGGTTAAGTGTGTCCCTTATTTTCTTTTAAATGCATACTTAGGGTACTTTCTAGAATTTTTGTGGTTCACGTCACACTTTGAGTTACGGCAGAGTAGCTTTTACTTTTATTTGTGGGGTTTTTTCATGTGAAAGTTGATTTAAATTAAAATCTGTCTCTAGAGTTGACTTCCTTGATGTAGCCGAACCTGTGCAAATTATTTTTGATCTCCAAATTCAATTCTTTTCCAGTACTTTCCAAAAAATGCTTGCAAACATTTTTTGGGAAAGGGTTGACCGGCACCTTTGCAAAAAGTATTCTTAGCAGCTATGTCACAATTTGGATGAGTAAGAATGATAAAAGAGTAGCAAGTTAGGAGGTGCATAGTAATACTGGGGGATAATCTTTAAGGTCCACTAATGGTCACACTATTTAGAGTATGCAATGTTTGTGTGTTTGGTCTTGGCACTGGTTTAATGCTCTGCCTTCCTAATGATTGTAATTTCTTCAAGATTCTACAAATGCGTCTATACTTAGAGAATCCAGAAACTAAGGAAACACTGTTGTATGAACCAGATGGTTTGGATTTCTGTCCTGCTGTCAGGATTACAATACCAAGCAGTTTAAGAAAATTTTCTGGTAGAATATGGGCTATATAGTTTTTGTAGAAATAATGTTTGCAATGTAGATATATTATCTTTAGTCTTATTCTTTATGGAGATGAATAGCATCTGGATACCATCCCATCAAACTGCTTTTCAGATTTCTGCAGTTTTTCTCTTCTGCTTAATCTTGCATTGTCTTTCTGTATTCTTTGTTTTTAGCCCCTAACTCTGAATTCTGATTTTCAAAAACTGAAACATCTGAATCTATTTCTTTCTAAAGAATTACAGCCATTGCACCAATTCCTTTAATAAAGGATTGAATTTCCTCCAGTGGGAGGAAATAGTTTGCATTGTTTCACTGTGAGTCTGGTTAGGTATGAGTCTCTTGAAGAAACCAGGTTGAAGAATATTTTTCTTGGTTTTAACTGAGAATGTTTTAATGTTGTGGATGTCTGGAACTAGAAGGTGGCATTTTCAAACTGAAATTACAAGTGATTACAAGGTAAGTACTCTGGTTTTGTAAAAGATTAAAGAGGAATTCAGGTGGTGAGAGATGTTAATAGTATTTACTTTTCCCCCCTTTATCTCCAATAAAGGCCAAAACCTAAGTGGTAAATATTAACATTTTCATAGTTCACATTTTGCCTAAGAGGACAGAGCTACAATTGTATTTTTTGAGCCTTAGCATTCTGTGTTATGTTGATCAGTTTTCATTCCTAATTGTATTCTTTTTTTTAGAAGGGATGGTGATTGAAGTTTAGGAAATTTTAAGTGTTTTTATCCAACTTAGTTTTTTGAGGTGTGGGTTACATTGAATTTCAGGTATTGTTGTCACTTAGTCTTGTTTTTAAGCAAGCCAAAAAAAGGTTTTTCACTATAGCAAATTGGACTTTTCAAATTCCCAAAATCTTTCTGAATTAGGTTGTGGAGGTTATTTTCAGATGCTGCTTTGATCAACATAGATTGCCCGATAGTGCAGCATGCGTGAGGCCCCTTTTCAGAGTCTGTATTATTGATGCAAGAGATGGGCTTACAACTGATTTAGGCAAGTCAGATGAGGGGGCGCTGCCCCACCTCCAGGGATTTTTCTCAGTCTTCTGAAGATTTTTCTCCACCCAACCTTCTGGTAGAGTTTGACTACAGAAAAATAAAATTAGTCTATTGATGTGACTATATTTCTAGCAGGATCAACAAATTTTTCTTTGCCCTGTTAACGATTTTTAAGATATTACCCTGTCAGCAACCTGCAGAGTTTGTATATGTTTTTAATGTTATTTGAATTCCAGCCGTAATACCTAGAATCGATTTTTAACAAAAATTGTGTTGATGATGGGAGAAGTTTCTGCTTATTTCTAAGTTGGATCTCTTAACATTAGCCCAGTAGTTGGTCATCTGGTTTTATTAAAGTGGCCACTTGAGCTTAGTAGTTGAGTTGAAATAAACCTAATATTTACATTATCTAGCAACATGTTTTGATCTTCGAATATAAAAGGAGGAAGATGGTTGGGAAGGGGTAATTTAAAAAAAGGGGGGCAGGAAGGCGTCCATATTGAAAAGTTCTGATACCTAGAGCTTTGGTCTCCATTCTAGTATTTAAGCCCTGTATCTGTGTTATCTTTAGGAGGCCATAAAGAGGAAACCTGCTTGGGCATTCTGATTCCACGATTACATTTGTGCTGCCAGCAAACATTTCCCATTACATTTTAGTGATGGATATAAAAAGAAAATCAATTAATTGACTCCCTTAAATAAAAAGCTATTTAAAATTTTTCCTGGATTAAACAGACAATAATTGACTTTTCAAAAAAAGACGACTGAAAATTGTGCTTTCTTAGGAAAGACATCACAACACTTCCCATGATAGCCATGGTTGTCTTTATACCCAGATAGATTTATAAGAACTTTTTTCTTTTTTCAAGAAACCTTTAATTAACCCCAGTCACCCCAAAAGAAAATAAAACTAGTAGAGAGGAAATTGTTGACAAATGAAAGATCATAAGGTGAAGTACAGGATAACAAGGAGAACAAGGATGTTTTGTGAGGACTATTTTGTTCAGGGTGTTCAACAGACACAATTATACTTCATTGATCTGTTAAGTGATGTTGAGTTTTTTAAATAATTTCAGGAGGTGAGCTATAATTTTCTACCAATATTGCCACCTTAAAAAGTAGGATTTCTCCTTTGGACTGCAGAAGATTTTAATACTTTGTTCATTGAGGGGGAATTTAAACACCACTGTTGAATTCAAGTTTGTTCTGCTTTCCTTCATAGCTACTTGGATATAGTAGTTGGTTGACAGTCTTTTTATGCTTTCAGTGCTAAATTTAGTAGTTGAACCAATCATATTCTAAAATGTCACTAGAGCAGCTTTCTCTAGGGGTGGGTTTTGAGCACTTTAGTCCAAATTTTCTGATTTCCCTGACATTGTCTTCTCAGAGCTCTTTAAATATGCAGTACAAAAATGTGTGACATTAAATACATTCCTTTACTGTGACGTTAAATACATTTCTTTATTATCTAGTCAAGTCACAAGTTGTAAGCCTCTCCAATCCTGAGCCTTGTCATCATTGTACAAATGAATTGTCCATGCTTTCCTTTCTTGCACTTTTGTATTAATGTGTCACTTTTTGACTAGAGATGTGCTTTTGACACTTGACATTTTCTATTGATGAATACAATAAGTAGAAGTGTGAAATGTAATTAAAGTTCTTAAATGTTAGATGAACAGCAAATGTTCAGTTGCGCACTTCGCATTCAGCTTAAGCATGATAAATCTATTTGAAGTAGACAATTGAGGTTGATTACCTTATATTTTAGAACCAACAGGAGGCTAGTTTCAGTTTTTTGAGCTGCATATTCTAGGGTTTTTGTTTTTTTTTTTTTTTAAATCCAGAAAAAGGGATTTTTTTTTTCTAGTTTCAGTTTTGGCACTGGATTTTATCCTGGAGTTTTAAAATATCTTCATCCTGTTCTTTTTCTATTAAGGTTAATGTTGAAGAAGGAAAATGCGGAAGTCGTCCTTTGACAAGTTTTATAAATGAGTATTTGAAGCTCAGGAATAAGTGAAGCTGAAATTTGAAAAAATAAAAGAAAGAATGCATGCTAATTATCAGACCAGAAGTCCCACTTGTAGAATATTGAGCAATTTGTGTGAAGTGGGGAAGATGAAAGAAGTCAGAATTTGAAACGGAAGAATGAAGAAAAGAAATAAAAATGAAGTTAAGATAAGAAGTAATCTGGAATCAGAAAGCACTACGCTAAGTAATTACTAGTCTGTTTATGTGTCCCTGTATATTTTGCTAAACATGCATGCATTATTTGTTTAATAGAAGAAAATATATACAGGGCAAAGACGTGCCTTCCAGGGGAAACGTTTAAATTAGGTAATTCTAATTTTAACTTCTTAGTCAAATGATTGAAATGCAATTTAAAAAAATAATAATCCTTTGTAGTCAAATATGAGGCAGGAATGAGCTCTCTGGCATGGGTAACAGTTGGCTTCATGTTGTCCCTCTAGATTTTTTCATCTAACTCTGCTGGTCCTGGGGTATGAGTGAGTACCTCCAGAGTTGGAATTGGTGGTTTGTGCCACCTCCATGGACTCTTAAAATTCACTGATCCCTATCCTTCAGTACTGAGCAATGTATAATAGAATGTTTTCTATGTTTGTCATAGTTTTCCTAAAGAATGTCACCAGGATGGTTATAGAACCGAACCCTCAAAATTGAAGCAAACCAGTGAACAGGTTAGCCAGCTCCTTTTGGCATTTATGAAAATATTTTCTTTCCAGATGGCATAGTGGAAAGCTATGACCAATTAGGCCCTACCTTTTAAGATGCAGGTTCTAAATTCACAAGGATGAGTCTTAATTCTTCGCTGTTTAATGCCTTTTCCAGCTGAAGGACTAGGATTACTGCTAAAAAAAAAAAAAGTTTACCTTAGAATGAGGTGGGTCACACAAGTGAACAGGATCTCTCTTAACTCAAAGCGGCAATAGTGTTAGGTGCTTTATTCAGTAAACAGCTTTATTCCCTTTTCTCATTTTCTGCTATTAACACTTAATTGTTAGAATGATGTGAGAGGTATAGATTATATTATAAAGTAGCTTTATTCTGGTTCCACACTCCCAGTACTTCCTGGAAAAAAAGAAACCTCAAAGTTCTATTATTTCCCCAACTGTGTGTTTTGTTTTAGTTAAATAAAAGAATCAAATGATCAGTGTAATGTTATTTTCAGTTGTATGGGACAAGTACACATGTCAGAATAATACCCAGTGGTAGCTAACCAAGAGTTGCCCTCTGTTGGGAAAGCCAAAGTTACCACTTCTCCTTCCTGAAATGAAGACAACCTAAAAAACTTTCTCTGAGAGTTATTAGATCTTCCAGCTCTTGGAAAAAGTGACTTAAATGACATTTCTAGAAGGATCTGTTTTCTGGGGTTTTAGGGCCAATGTGAGATCTGTGCTTTTTGTAATTATTTCTGTGTTTTCAAGGAGAAGAAAATTATTCCCATTTATAGTAGTTTCCAGCTTTTGCTTTGTCCCAATTATTGGTTTGTAAAAATTTTTTGCCATGTATAAACTAATAACATTAAGTTAATGTTAATTTTGCATTCCGAATTACTTACAGATTAGGCAGAGAGATATGAATGGATATTCTATTTCTCTTCAAGTCCATGGATTCTTTTATCAGGAGACCTGAAAGGTCCGTGGGGTCCAAAAGAGGAAAGATCTATTAAGCCTCTAAGTGGAAGGAAAGCAGTTTGGAATTTGATTATATGGTCTAAGCTGGATAGATGTATGGTGAAACTAAACACTGATGCTGGTGGACCATCCCATCCATTCAAGGTTCCCCCCACTATCACCCGTTGGCCAAAGTATCTTTGAGTCTTGACCGTGCTTTCTCCTCTCACCCCCACTCTGGCTATTGGGTAGGTAAGAGGGAGATAGGCCTCTGCAGGGGAGCAGAGAAAATGAGAGAAACAAGGTTCCAAGACAATGCTTTTGCCAAGAAAAATCAATAGGCAGGAAGCATAAAACTCTGAAATTGAATAAAGCAATGATACTTAGCATCATAAATATGTATGGTACTTCTAAGAAATGTAGAAGACCAACTCCAGAGTTATTAAAATGAGCTCTAGTTTAGGGACCTGTATTCTTAAATGCTGTGTAGGTTTACTCCATACCTGTTTAAGAGCCACTGTTCAAAATCTAATTTACTGCATCTAGTTTCTAAAATAATACAGAAGAAACCTAGTGATTTGATGGTTCCAGATGGTTTCTACTTCCTTTATCTCTCAAAATGTTTTTCTAAGATGGTGCCTTTCTCGGAATAGGGGGAGATGAAGGTTATTTTGTTGAAAGCCTTGAGTTTTTTTCTGACCTGCTCCTTTGAAGTTGTATATTGTTATATGACTAAGATCAATCTATAAAAACTTGATTCCCTGGGCAAAAATTCAGGGAATTTCTTGGTTTTGTATTAACTTTAAGTTCATGATCCTTTTCGTTGAGGTATTGAAGGTCCAGAGTAGTGGGGGGTTTTTTGGTAGGGTTTTAATGCCTTGACACACAATTTTTAGCCCTAAGAATGGACTTGAGTTTTCTTTATGTGGAGAATTTCCCAGCTGGTTGTGTAGATTTGCCCATGTTGGTTTAAGTTAACTTTGTTTTTAGATTTGGCTAATAATTTTAGGTATCATTTCTTCTGGACAGGCTAAATTTCCTTGAATATATATTTTCAAACAAGCTGAGGGCCAACATAACTACAAAAAGGGGGTTAACTTCTTTAAGAAACATCCCTGACAAGAAAGGTAGGAGGAGGTGGAGGCATTGTTTAGGTGTTAGCCTAGCCAAATATCAGTATAAAAGGGAAAATCTTTGCATTCTAGCTGGTGTTTCCTCTATTCCTGGCCTAGGAAGTGATTGCTCACAAAATATATATGCATATAGCCAGTTAGTCTTAAGAGGCTGAGAGGAAAGTCTTAGAATTTCATAGACGCTGTATCTTTGACCCTTGATCTGCTAGGCTAAAAGTACAATCTCTTACCATTGGGCAGACAGGTAGAGTAGGTTAGGATAAGGTTTTTCTGTTTAATGAAGCAAGAGGCTTAAAAGGAGATCTTGGCTTTCTACCATTTCTTCCTTTATATTCCAATTCCTAGGCTGACTGATATTAACTACAACTACTTTATTGGTAATCTTTTTATTATGAGTTACTGTGAGCATATTCAGCTCTCCTTTCCAGAGTAAATTGTTTTCTTTGGTTTCCATTAAAAGCTATAATCATTCCATGAAGTAATCTTTTCTAACATTGGAATAAACGAAGGCAGTTAACTTTTGGGGTCCCTTTTTCTATTTTCTCTTCTAGGTTAGCTTTTGCCTGTGGTAAAGATGCCGGAAACTGCACCCCACCCCCATTTTGTGAGAACTACTTTGTCCAAGGAGAGGAGGGAGGTGGATTGTGCTTTTAAATGTCTGTGTGCAGAATATTTGCCAGAGAATGCCAAGAGATTGTTATTTGGGGTCCCCAAAGCTGTAGTACACCCTTTAACCATTCCTTGTTAAAGGTAGCTGTTCTCACTAATGAGTATCTTTTTCTTTGAACCTTTTTACAGTCAACCCATGGGGGTGATGGAGAGAGGGGGCTGTCACATTTCATGTCCCTTCACACTGTGTTTTATAATGACTGAAATCTTACTGGGAAGTTTCTAGAGTTCTTTCAGGCCTAGAGACCAGAACTTATTTTACTGATTGAGTTACTCTTTTCTTTACTGTCCTAAACTTCAAACTTGTTTCTTCTATATTGCATATAAATTTTTGCCCTGAGCATCATAGAAATGATCTTCCAAATTTTCTCCCATCAAGCTGTAGATCACAGAACATAATCTAAAAAGGCTATAGCTATAATTTAAAATCCTATTCTATCCTTTCAAGAATGGCCAGAATATTCTGAAAGTTTACCACACAGGGAGGTCTCCAGTGGTACTTTTATCCAGTAGCTTCAACATTGAGTCTTACTCCTACAGTAAGTACAGACTTACTGTACTGTTTTGGTTCTTTTTGGGTCTGGCCATTTCTGCTCTATCTTGGGTGGAAAGACTCACTAGACTTTATGCCTTTTAATTTGCCTTAAGTTGGAGCCTAAAGTACGGTTGTCTTGCTTGATGATAACACCTTTGCTATTAGACTGAGTGGGTTTGTTCTCTTAATCCGTTGTTTCTGTTTTGGTGCCTTGGCAGGACATTTCCTTGGTTCCATTATTTTATATGTATGTCTTTTCTGCTTATGAGTTGACTTATGTTTTGACTCACTGGTGAGCCAGTTACCCTGTTTCCCCATTCTTTTGCTGGTTTCTTTAGAGATTTTCCTTACTGTGCCACTTACCTACCAGGTAGTCTAGTTTTGATTGGGAAAGCCATGGCTGTATAGTATATACCTAGACTTTGGTTTTTACATGCAATTCTGAACTCCCTACCTTCATGGACCTTGATAGGAGCCCCTGATTTAATCTGTTCTGGTTTTAATAGGTCCTTTATGTAACTTACCTAGCTACTTATTCCTAGATCCCCATCAGTTTGCCCTGGTTCATCTCCATTTAGCCCAGAAAGCTGTAGATCTCTGGCACTGTCTTTGCTCTTCTGCACAGTTCACTGCCTTTCTGCCGTGGTTCCATCTGGTTGCTTTGAGATTTTTAGGGGCTTCCCACCATGGTTAGATGGAATAGGGTTTAGTGTCCTTCAGGCTGGTCCTTGCTTTCCACTAGGTTTCTGCCTTTTGCTAGGACTTGAAACAGATTGTCCTTGCCTCTTTTCCCCACTTAAAAATAAATAAAACTTGAGAAGTTAAGGTCTTACTGGGAAAAAAAAAAAGGCATTTTAAAAGTAAGTTTTATGACTTTCATAGGGTTTTGTTTTATTGATGGCAACTTGATTGAAATAGAGGTATAAGGTATAGGTGTCATAGTTAATAAGATTCTTTCTCACCCTAGTCTTTATGGAGTAAATCCCAAAACACAGTCCTTGGACAGTTCCCTTAACTGCTTGGCTTTGGCACCCCTTTCTGAAGAGAGTGGGGTCAGTTAACTCTTAACCCTGCTCCAGAAAAGGTGGAAGTTCAAGTTAATTGGCTTATGTCAGTTGGAGCAATGTAAATATACCAGGTATATTCAGTTCCTGCCCTTACCTATGTTTTCTTATCTTGGAAGGGGATTGCTTTCCCTCACCATTTATCTCACAGCAGCTTATTTGTTTTTAAAGTTGCCCAGAAAGTATACAAATTAAACTTTTGACATCTACGTGTAGGAATCCCGTTCTGCTTCCAGAAGTGGAAGTGCTCATGGATCTGGGAAATCTGCAAGGCATACCCCAGCAAGGTCTCGCTCCAAGGAAGATTCCAGGCGTTCCAGATCAAAGTCCAGGTCCAGATCTGAATCTAGGTAAGAAAGACTGTCTTGGGATTTTCTTCTGTTACTCTTAGCTCTGAAATTGGTGTGTGCTTTGTAAATTAGGAAGATAGAGAGGGTTAGATCATTTGTTGGCTTATTTAATATTGGTACTAGCAATGTACTTAATCATAAGTTCTGGGACAGAAGACTAAGTGGTTAAGAGCCTGGGCTTTTGGCGTTAGGGTTCAAATCTTACCTCTATTTTTTCTGACTTGGGCAGATTACTTAACCTTTTTCCACCTTAGCTTCCTTATCTTTAAAAGGCGAGTTAGTACTAGTTCTTCAGAATTGTGAGGATTCGCTATGAGTTTAAGTATAACAAATGGACTGCAGAACATTGGCTTTCATAACTGCAATTCTTGATAAATAGGTGTAGTGTCTAATATTATATACATGTGTGTATAAAACAAAAATAATACCATAACACAGCGCACTTTTTTTTTTTTTAATGTTGGTCTAGAGTAGGCTATACGTCCTTGGTTTGCCCAGGACAGCCCCAGTTTATGCCTATTATCAGGCATAATTAACAGCACCTCTTTTCTCTCTTACAATGTGTCCTGTCTGGTTTAGATGACACTTCATATCACTCTAGTTAAGAGCGATTGATTGGTTTTAAAACACTGCTGGACAAAACTATGGTGATGGTGATTTTATCTTAAGTGAATGGTGGGCATAATGGGAGAGGCCGAAAAAATAGAGGGTGTTATACTGAGGGAAAGGGGGGCACAAATCAAGCTAGTAGGAAGTGCTGCATGTTTTAATGATTACCAAATTTTTTAGTGTGTTAATTGATCTTCAGTATGTTAATTTTGATCTCCTTTATCTTAAGAAATGGAAGAGAGCTGATAGTGGTTTGGAGCTCTTTCTAGCAGAGTTGAGATGACTGTAGATACAGAAGAAAAACCTCAATTTAATGTTAATATATGTCTGAATTGTGTTCCGTCTTTTGGATTTTAACTCTAGATTATTAGAAGAATTAAAAGCTGTATCAATCAGTTATTTAGTCATAACCCTGAAGCTTTTGTCTTACAGGTCTAGATCCAGAAGAAGTTCTCGAAGGCATTACACAAGATCAAGATCTCGGTCCCGCTCCCATAGACGATCCCGTAGCAGGTCTTACAGTCGAGATTATCGAAGACGGCATAGCCACAGTCATTCTCCCATGTCTACTCGCAGGCGTCATGTTGGGAATCGGGTAAGATGAAAAAATTGCTAAAGCAATATGTCTCTTCTGTTTTGAAATTAGAACTGATTACATTTGACAGACTTCTGGCAGTGAACACACAAGTTCTTTAGAGACTTTTTAGTGTTTTGAGGTTAGTCTATTTAAAAGTATTTCTTATGTTGTAAATGGTCTACATTTGAGCTATCAGTCATATGTAAGCAAAATACTGTGGCAGTGGTGTAGCTCAGCTCATCAAATAAAAAATCCCCATTGTGCATTACTGTCTATATGTGCCATATTAATGTTACTGAAGTTTTCTGGGTTAGCTTTAATACTCTTTTTAGAATGCTTCTTGGTTTTTCCATTTAATTTTAAGCGCGTTTATTTCGGGTATTAGGGCTTATCTTCCCTGAAAGAGTTATTCCCTCTGGCTTATAGAGATAATGCTACTCATTATTCTTACGCCTAGAATAAATTCCTAGGAGGTGAATCCCTTGGGCAAATTGCTCTCCAGTCTCCCCCCACAAAAATGCCAGTTTTGGTCTTCACTAGTATGAGTCCCTATTTCCCCCTCCCTACACACACACACACACACACACACACACACTTAATTCTGAGGTTGAAATGCTCTTCACAGGATTTTCTTTGGGAGGGGGTGCAGAGGGAAAGAGAATCTTTTTTTTTTTTTTTAAGATTTTATTTATTTATTTGACAGAGATACAGCGAGAGAGGGAACACAAGCAGGGGGAGTGGGAGAGGGAGAAGCAGGCTTCCTGTGGAGCAGGGATACCGATGCAGGGCTTGATCCCAGGACCCTAGGATCATGACCTGAGCCGAAGGCAGATGCTTAATGACTGAGCCACCTGGGCGCTCCATGGGGGAGAGAGAAGCAGGCTCCATGGCCAGCGTTGGAGCCAGATGTTGGGCTTGATCTCAACCCTGACATGATGACCTGAGTCAAAATCAAGAGTCCGATGCTTAACTGATTGAAGCACCCCAGGCACCCCTTTTCTGCCCATTAATGCTTGCAGCTATTGCCATAACACTGATTTTAAATTTTAATTTTTCATTTAAATCTGCTTTATTGTTAGTGACATTTTGGGTAATTTTTATGCATTTTTTCTTAACTTTGGTTTATGATAAATTTTAAGGTTTAAAATTGATTTTTCCATTTCTAGGCAAATCCTGATCCCAACTGCTGTCTTGGAGTATTTGGATTGAGCTTGTACACTACAGAAAGAGATCTAAGAGAAGTATTCTCTAAATATGGCCCCATTGCTGATGTGTCTATTGTATATGACCAGCAGTCTAGACGTTCAAGAGGATTTGCCTTTGTATATTTTGAAAATGTAGATGATGCCAAGGAAGTAAGTAAAAGTCTACCTGTATCTTTTTTTTTTTTTTTTTTTAAGATTTTATTTATTTGACAGAGACACAGCGAGAGAGGGAACACAAGCAGGGGGAGTGGGAGAGAGAGAAGCAGGCTCCTCGCTGAGCAGGAAGCCCGATGCAGGGCTCGATCCCAGGACCCTGGGATCATGACCTGAGCCGAAGGCAGACGCTTAACGACTGAGCCACCCAGGCGCCCTCCTTGTTTTGTTTTTTGTGTTTTTTTTTTTTTTTTAAGATTTTATTTGAGAGCGAGAAAGCACATGAGGGGGTAGGGTCAGAGGCAGAAGCAGACTCCCCGCTGAGCAGGGAGCCCCATGCAGGACTCGATCCCGGGACTCCAGGATCATGACGTGAGACAAAGGCAGTTGCTCAACCAACTGAGCTACCCGGGCGCCCCCCCCCCTTTTTTTTTTAACCTGTATCTTTTTAAAATAGTCCTATTGTTGACTCCCAAGTACAGATGAACATAAGGATAAGGACAATTTTCGCTTTTATATTGTAAATAAGATATATTTATAGTTACTTACAAATATTTGTAAATATTTACAAAAGTATTTATACTGGATATTTGTGGCCTTGTCCCAGGTGTATATAATAACTTAATGTATCTTTCCAAGGCAAAAGAGCGTGCCAATGGAATGGAGCTTGATGGACGTAGGATCAGAGTTGATTTCTCTATAACAAAAAGACCACATACCCCAACACCAGGAATTTACATGGGAAGACCTACCTAGTAAGTTTACTTTTAAGATAAAGATTGATGGCTGAGTGCATTTTCTCTAAGAACTACCATGTACCCGGGGAAAATTTTCGACATTTCATCCAGTCCTGCCACAGTACAAATCATTCTTCCTGTTTTATTTTTTTAACTGGGTAAGACTATTCAAAAGAATATATTCCATGGAAATCTTGTATTTGTGCTGCACACTGGTAGATGACATCCCACCATATCCTACAGAAAGGCCATATATCTGGCTTTGCTTGGTAATTAATATTCTTGCTTAGACCATTTTTATCGTAATGGAATCTTAACCGTTCTAGGTAAAAGTCAAGTTTATAACAAATTCTACTCCTGTGCGTTTAGTTTTTGTTAAGCAGAGTGGAAAACAGTTTTCACATTGAACTATATGATAGGATATTTCTTTTCCTTTGTCATCATTCTCACCAGTGTTTCTATATTGGTCAAAAGCTCTGTGTTGAAGTTTTGGTTTTTTGTTGTTTTTAATTTAAATATTTCCACTCCTGAAACCACATTCTTGCAAATATTTTATTTTCCTTTAGGAAAATACATTTATGTACATTGTTACAGGGAGCAGAGAAAAAGGACAGTGTTTATCCCGTATCAGTGAATTCTTAAATAGGAATAATAATCCTTTTCCGGGTAACTTTTCTTTTAGAAAAGGCCTGTCTATGAATTAATAATTAGGGGGTTGTTAGTAGATACTATTTTTGCTCAATATAAGAGAGTAGAGAGATTATACTTGGAGCAGTTGCCCAGTCATGTCCTTAGCTCAGCTGTGGCTCCCAGGACCCAAATGAGTCATGCTGCTGTGCTATTGTCTGAACAGCTTTAAACAATAACAGTTGTATGTAGGAAGATAGGGAAGGAAGGCCACGTGGTATTTTATGAAGATACTCTATGAAGATGTATTTCACTGGATGAAATATATTTATGAAGATATATTATTCATAGTGGCAGCTCACGCCGTCGGGATTACTATGACAGAGGATATGATCGAGGCTATGATGATCGAGACTACTACAGCAGATCATACAGGTAAGTTAACCATAGTAGATTTAAGTTGCCAAAAATTTGAAGGGAGGTACCAGTCTCTTCTCCTGAATCCT